GAATATTGGAGCTTTCGGCGCAAATGTCAGGTAGTCAGCATGCCATTTCCAAATTTATGGCAGAATGAATTGCGTTATGGTGATCACAAACTGTACCTAACTGACTCTACTATAATGTGCAGTCGACAAAATCAAAACAAACAATGCGCATGCGCGAAATTAAAAAAATATAAAAGGGCGATAATTTACCCATTGCACTCTGTATATAAGATATTGCAGAATGAGTTCTGGTGTTAATAAGATGTAATATGTAATATAACAAAAACTATTAGTATATATTAATAAATATAGATATTATTCCTCATTCCTGAGTAGACTAAACACCTGAAGATAACGTTGTGCATGAAACTCGTGCTGCCGGTGAGGAATAATATATATATATATATATATATATATATATATATATATATATATATATATAAATATATATATATATATATATATTATATATATATATATATATATATAGAAAGAAAAGTTTACTTGTGAAGCGTCTCGTCCTTCAGGACTTCATCGTACTAAATTTGTTATGTTGGTAGGACATGCGCCCGGGGTGCTGGTGATATATATATATATATATATATATATATATATATATATATATATATAGCCGAATTAGAGTATTTTTATTTTTATTTCCATCACTTTTGTCATTAGGAATTCCACACTGTGATAAGAGACGATCTGCCAGCAATGATGAAATGTTGTAAGAGCCAGGGCGCAAATTTACTGTAGATGACCTTGTGATCAAGTCACGTTGTAGTGAATTGCTTTCTTCTTTTGAACAGAGTGGTCAGTCTCATTTCGGTGGGCAACCAACCCATTTGACGTATTGTTTTGTAAAATGTCCCTTTTGTGTTCATATAAGCTTTTATTTAGATTCCTTGAGGTTTCTCCATTTTTTTTTTTTTTTTTTTGAAAATTATTACATGCAGTGTAGTAAATTCCTCCTTCAGGTTTTGCCATAATGTTTTGTTTAGTATTAAGTCTTCTATTGTTTTGGATGCATTCATGCGCATTTTTAGTCGTACTAACATATTAAATTTAGTAGTATTGCACGATACAATATATATATATATATATATATATATATATATATTTACTTAATGGAAAGTGCTCAATATTCAGTTGTATGGATATTAGTTTGTAACCCAGAGTTTCACGCTTTTGTGATCATCAGATTTATTTTTTTCAAAAGTGCATCTGTTTATGCTTATTTGTGTTTGATTACTTGTGTGTGGTGGAGTTGGAATGTTCTTCTCTATTTGTGTGAGATCACACTCTCACCATCATAATGTAAATAGATAGTACTTATTTTAACGCATTTAACGGCTTATAACGAAATATACAACCTTACAAATAAACGACAATTCCCAACTTACAGAAGCTTTATTTTTCCGTTTGCTAATGATTTAATTGGATAGGACATTTTAACGCATCTGTCTACAGCTAGACCAAAATATATAAACTTACAAATAAACAAAAAAAAAGTTCTATAAGCTTTCATAAAGTTCTAGAAGGTTCCAAAAAATCATAGTACTACTCTAATTATACACGATTTTAGAAATTTCATATTGGGGTGAGTGTGACGCCCCCCCCCCGCCGGTGTCGCCGCGCCAAACGTGACGTCTGCCTGGTTGCATCCGTCGTGCTATCCTGTCTTGTGACGACCAACTGGCTTGTTATTGGTCGCGGCACCAAATGTGACGTTCGAACCTTTTGGTAATTCGGATGGGAATCTGTTTAGATTCGGTATCAGCCTCGTCGTTCCGAGTTCGCCTCCAACGTCTGGTTACCGAGGTAACTGCTTTGATTTCTAGTCTAACCTACCCACGTTGTGAATTAATCTAGGCAGACGAAATCAATCAGTCGCTGGGCCGTACTGCAAGCCGAGTTCGAACAAGAGCGATATCGCACAAGTATGTGTAAAAGAAAAGAAAATAATAACTCGAAAAGTTCAAATGTGTTAAAAAAAAGGATAACACTACTTTATATCTGGTTGCTGAGTACAGGAGTTTTCTTCCCAAACCCGCTATATGGATTCGTGACACTTTGTGTTTGTTAGGCGAGTCTTAACATCTCAAGTTGTTTGTTCTTTTAAGAAACTGGTTCTTGGTGTGTTCTCAGGCGAAATTCGTAAAACTTGTTTTGGTGGTGTGAGTCTAAGTCGTTCTTCAAAAATAAATTGTTCTTGATTAGAAGATGAGTTCGGAATTTGCGTGGAATCTTTCAAGTCAGCTGTCTGCGAGGCGGGTCTTCAGAGCTTTCAGCTCACTGCAACTGCTTCTTAACTGGAACTGGTCTGAACCGGAACTGAAAAACTCGAACTGATTTTCGATCGCTGCGACTTTGCTTATATGGACGCCGACCAATACCGGGGTGGGCTTGTCGGGGTTTGAGGTTCCTTGATAATTCCAAACCCACAATCCACTTCTTTGTTTTCGGTGAGGAAAATTTTATTAGTTTCCATTTTTGGAAGCCTCTTCGTCCTCCCACCTTCTTCTGTTTTCATATTGATATCTCACCATACCCTCAGAGGGTGTCAACGGGTTTCCCCTCTCTCTCACAGTGGCATCTCACACCTATCCCCTCAGTGGGTGCCAGCAGGCCTCCCCTCCTGCCTCACATGATCATCTCCGCCCAATACTCCTGCCACCACTCAGCCAATGGGCGCTCAGCAGTGTGGGTGTGGCTAGACTAGCCTCGGTTTAAAAAAAATCTTGCTCAAAGAAAAAAAATTATCTTCCTTTCTCTTTTTTTTTCTTTTTCTTGTCTTTCTCTTTCTTTCCTTCTGCCCGACAACGGACCCTTGGTCTCTTATCTTAGCCAAATATCACTTGGACTTTATCACCCGGGGACTTCGCCAAACAAGTGGGTGGTCAATTAGACATATTTTCATGCTTGGTGCCAATTTCTGATCCGATAAAATAGTTTCGCTGTCATAGCCGAATTTCAACACAAAACAGATGCCTTTTTCAAACGACTTTTCCTTAGATAACCAATGGTTTGGTCTTTTGTTTTGGCAACCCCTGTGTGATCAACGGACATTTTTGTTTTTCGGTCAGCGGATGACCTATTTAATTTTTATCTCTTTAGAATTCTGTGGGAGGTCTCAAATGGGCATTCCTGCGACACAGTTAAATGTTTATCTATTTAGAATTCTGTCTCTGAGGTTATTTGGCCAACCTGGAATTTCCACCCGCCCCGTAACCTAAATCAGATTAATTCCAGTATCTTCTTTTTTTCCTTCTCGACAATAGGAAATAAAAGTTTTACCATTTTCCTTGTCAGAAAAATAACACCGCTTAGTGTCCTTTTCGTGATGGCTTCTTATCACCTAATTTTAATTCTCGCCTTTTCTTTTTCTTTTCTTTCCTTCTTCTTTTCTCCTTCTAGCAACCCTAAATGGTGTCAGAGATTTAAAAAAAAAAAAAAAAGAAAAAAAAGAAAGTGAATTAAACCCATTTAATTATTTTTAAACAAAAGTTAATCGAATTATGATACAGGAAATAAATTATTTTATAAAAAGTAAAAGTCATAACTCTGATATATATATATATATATATATAATTATATATATGTAATTATATATATATATATATATATATATATATATATATATATGTGTGTGTGTGTGTGTGTGTGTGTGTGTGTGTGATAATGTGGCGATGGAAATTTATCGGTCTGACGCAAAAATGTTATTTTATCCTTTGGTCAGATATGAGGAAATGGAAGTGGCCGAAAACTTTTCAGCGCCTCTTCGTATTAAATTCATGCTTAAATTAGAAAACAATTGTTCATACGAGGCATTTTTGTTCAACAAAGCATATTTATCTCTTGTTCGAAACAACGTATCAATGGAATTCATCAAAGATTGCCTCCCATTCCCGCTGTGTACTTTTTCGTCCCATTGATTTGGAATGCTTTACTTAATGAAAAGAAATCCAATGACTCCATGTTTCCCCTTCTCTCTCTGAATCATTTCTCTCATTCTCTTTTATACATTTTGGTTTGTTTTTAACTTCTTTTTTTTTAATTTATTTATTTTTTACTTTATCCCTTGAATTTTCATTCTTTTCCTTTTTCGATGTTATAGCATTTTCTATCAATTTCTTCGTCATTTTTTTTTTCATTTTCATTCCACTTTTTCTTTGCTGCTTGCTCATTCTTTTTTGATTATTAAAACATCTTGGCCTTTTTTCATTTTAGTTTTGGAACAATATTCTTCCTGGCGACATCCTGTCATTTATAAGAAACATAAAACTAAAAAATCTCAATCGTTTGTTTTTAAGAATTTAATTTTAAACAAGTTGTCATTTGTTTGTTTTCATCATGCATGCGTTTTTCTTTACATGAGGTTTGTTTTATTTTTATTTTCATTTTTCTATTTCGTTTTTTAAGCTGATTTTTTAAAATGTTTTTCATTTTCTTCTATTAATTTATTAAGATTCAATGGAAGTGGATTTTTTTTTAATTTTATGAATTGATGCAACCGCACCGCCCAGTGGATCAACCAGAAGTCTTTCTTTCCCTCTTTGAACTTTCTTATTTTTCTGAGCAAGCATTTTTGTTTTCTGTCTTTTAATACCTACTTCGGTTTCTGGGTAGGTCTTGTGGTTAAAATTGATTTGAATTAATCAATAGTGTGTGTGGTCAATAATCGAGAACATATAGAAAGCCTAAATGATTTCGTTCGTTATATTCTCACAGGCCAGTCGTCAAGAGGGTGGTGGTTGAAACTGCCCATCCCAAATAACTCAGGTAACCCCCCACCGTGAAGATATTTTTGTGTTTAAATTCTAACATGCGGCTATCCAAAATTCTCAAAACACTGGCGATAGAGCTGATTCTTGATTTGAAAGATCGGCGCAACAATAACTCGTATTTGGAATTGTGTTAAAATTAATAAATAATAATTTAATAAATTTAATAAATATATAATTTTCCTTTTTATTCTTTAAATTCTATTTCTTTTTTGTCCATTTTTTTTTCATGTTTAGATTCTTTTCACTTTTACAATTTTCTTTTCTTTTTCTCCTTTCATCGTTTTCATTATTTTCTTATTTTACCCTTTCTTTTTTTTTTCTTACTTATTTCCGTCCACCCCTCTCTCTTTTTCTTTCTTTCTCTTTTTCCTCCCTTTCTTTCTTTCGTTCTTTCTTTCTTTCTTTTTCTCTTCTTCATTTTTTCTTACTTTCCTTCTTTCTTTCCTTCTTTCTTTTATTCCTTCCTTCTTTCTTTCTTCCTTCCTCTTTTCTTCTTACATTTTTATCTCCTTCTTTCTTTCTTACATTCCTACCCTCTTTCTTTTCTCGCCTTTCTTTTTTCTTTCTTTGTTTCTCTTTTTCCTTCCTTCTTTCTTTACTTTCGCTCCTTCCATACTTTTCTTCCTTTTTCTCTCTTTTGTTTTTAGTTTCTCTTTTTCCTTGTTTCTTTCTTTTCTCTCCTTCCTTCTTTATTCCTTCTTTCTTTTTTTCTTTGTTTCTCTTTCTTTCTTTTTTTTTTCCGAAATGTAGGTCATGCTACACTGGTTCAAAAGTTCGCTTCGTTTCTTCTTCCTACATCCCTCTCACTCTTGTCGGTGTTGCTGTCATTTGGTGCTGTGCTATCGATTTTTTGGCGCCAAGAAGTATTCTCCCTTCCCGCCCAGCTCTTCAAACTGTTCCTTTCGCGCCTACCCACCCCAACTCCACACACTCACTTTCTTTTATCCCAATATCCGTTTCGATTGGCGCGTATTATGATCTGTGTTATGGTGGACACACTTCGCAGCGTATTGAATCAACGCACGTTTTTCTTTTCTCTCCTTTTCATATAAAAGCACATTTGCATGCGTGCGTGTACGTCTGTCTCTCTCTCTCTCTCATATATATATATATATATATATATATATATATATATATATATATATATATATATATATATATATTATGTTATGTTATATTATATTTCTTGTATGTGAACAAGTTATTTCTTATGGGGACTTAGAGTGTGTTGAAATTGTTCAAATGATTGTTCGTTCCGAGCGCTTTCGGCTAATCTGTTAGCCCTTTTTAAGAATTTTGCCTTTGCTATTGTAACAGATTAGCAATCGGAACGAACAAAAATTTGGACAATTTCTACACAAACTAAGTCCCAATAAAAAATCTCTTATTCACATACAATAAAAAATGCAGTTAAAAAAAAATAACAGAAGTACCTTGTGAGTCATTTTAATGAAACATGTATTAGAGAGGGATTGCTGCCAAAAGACGTTTGTAAACACATACTAATAAATTAAACGGTTTCTGTTGCCTGTTTTTTTTCATCATGCTGCCTAACTGTAAACTATTCACACACACACACACACACGCATATACCGGGTGTAACAGCAAAATTGTCCAAATCGCGTAACAGCATGGGATAATTTTCCAACCCATAAAATGTTTAATGTCCAAAAAATTAAGTTTCTTTTTTTCCAGGTTTTTAGATAAGACGTTTAGCCATCTTGACACCATTTGTCGTAAGAATCACTGAAAAACCAATGGTGAGATCGTTCAGGCCTTCAGTACCAACATTCATACTATGGCTTCCATCTTTGAAGATTCCATTCGAGAACCATCAAGAGAACGGTGGATAAGTTTACAAAAGAGGAAACAATAGAGAGGAAAACTGGACTAGGAGGTCACAAATGCAAGCGAGGTCATCATTTCAATTTAGAACTAAACACATTATTATTTTTCAAGTCCAATAAATTGTGTTATAAAAACCGCGGAGAAATTCAGTAAGATATCTTTTTAATCATTTCTAAGATACAACCGTCCAAATTGTAATTTAACAATTGAACAAATTTGCTGTTACACCCGGTTTGCATATATATACATATATATATATATATATATATATATATATATATATATATATATATATATATATATATTATATGATGTACTCTTCCCTTCGAGTTCGATGTATGAGGTTCCGACACATTATTATTTTTCAAAGTAGAGTCAAATAGATAGTCTTATAAAAACTGCGGAGAATTCCAGTAAGATATCTTTAATCATTTCTAAGATACAACAGTTCAAATCGTAATTTAACAATTGTACAATTTTGCTGTTACACCCGGTTCCCATATATATATATATATATATATATATATATGATGTACTCTTCCCTTCGAGTTCGATATATGAGGTTCCAACTAATTATCTGCATGCCTATGACAGGCATGACTTTTGAGACCGGCTCGAGAATTGCACAAAAGACCACGAACAGTACAGGAGAATGTATTGTATCCAAGTGCAGCAGGAACACTGTTAGATGTCTTATTTTGATTTCTCGTTTCATGCAGTCGAATGATGCTTACTTCATGATGGTGCATTATTCCTGAATAGCAGTTGGAACAATACTCTGATCTCTTCATGGCTACCTCTTCAAAGTTCCTGAATGGAATGTTGACGCAAGGAAGGTAGCTCTTCAGTTTATCTTTAAATGTCTATCAACATTTCTATGACCACTATGGAGTTCACTGTAGAAAAGAAATATATATATATATATATATATATATATATATATATATATATGGTGTGACACATTTTAAATTAAGGTATCTAACCCCAGTGGACTACTTCTTTTGGGTGTACCTCAATGATAGGTGGTACGTAGGAAAGCTGTGGAACTAAAGCAAAGTATGAGTACAGAGATCGCAGTCATTACAGTTGATATGCTAAGCTGCTCTGTGTCTGAAATGAGAGAGCGAGCTCGTGTATGTTCTCTTCGTACTTGCGACCATTTCAAGAATGTAATATTCAAATCTTAGATAATATGTTGAACTCTTGTATATCAGTTATGTAATAAATGGTGGTCTATATCATTTTTGAATCAAAATACTTGCATTTAAAATATGCATAAAACCCTGAATATATACATACACCCCCATATATATATGTGTGTGTGTGTGAAAAGTGTGTCTATATAAATATAAATATATATATATAATTACTTATATATTATATGCGCGAAACTTATTAGAAAGCGCTCAATATCAGAGATAGAGCTAACATATTTGGTTGGATTGATGTGAGTTTTTGATCTGGGTTTCACGCTTTGCGATCGTCAGACTGACGATCGCAAAAGCGTGAAACAGAAAAACTCACATCAATCAAAACATATATATATATATATATATATATATATATATATATATATATATATATCAGCGTAATCTTATTAAAAAATATGCGTCCCCTATCAGGAAAAACCATCGTTAGGTCCGACCTGCTTTAGAGTAACTCGTACACGTCTATTCAAATAGAGGTAAAAACTAAAAATAGCATTTCAGTGATAATATATATATATATATATATATATATATATATATATATATATATATATATATATATATATATATATATATATATAAGCAATGTAAATGGATATAAATCCGACAGAATGTAAAATTTTGAAAAACAAACAAAAATCCATAAATGTAGTTAAAATGAAAAGAATTGTCGACGTCAGACGTTTCGGTTTTAATAAACCATTTTTTAGACAAAATTCATTAAAATACAAATTCAGTTCAATATGACGAAAACGATGGACATAAAAACACAAGTCTTATCATGGTTTATTTTAACTGTAAGACTGTTAATTTTTTCATTTTAACTCTTTATGGATTTTTGTTTGTTTTTCAAAATTTCTACATATATATATATATATGTATATGATAGCTAGGCTGAATTTACTGATCTACGAGTGCTTCCTAAACAATTTCGAACTGCCGATACTATCAGGCTCCATACTTCCAGGCTATATGTCTTCTGCCATCTCCCACACCCATGTGAAGGCACTTATTTCTTGATATTAGGCATACTGAAAAATAAAATTTGTAAATCTAATATTGAAAATACACATTAGATAAGATGCCGCCAGAGAAACATCCGAAGCTATATCGCTACACCTACAATCCTAAAGCTTCATTGGCTTCTGTTGCTGTCGGCTGTCCGATTCCTCTGGTCTGTGGCCCTTCCTGTTCAAATAAAGTCAGCAAGAAAAACTGTCGAATAAAACGAAATAAAATAAAACCATGCTTTCGTGTATAACTGTTAAGTTAATTTTGTTCTTTGTAAAGGATAGGTGTTTCTTAAGTTCCTGAAGTCCGTTACCGGAGATTCAAACCGTGGTCTTTTCTTTTTTTTTTTTTTTTTTATCAGTTTCACCCACCCGATACAATACTCTGGAGCCACTCGAGATAGAGGGTGACAGAGAAAGAGGTACAGTTTATGCGGATATGTCTGGAAGATAACTGTTAACCCCAGACATGAAAAGGGTTAAGATTATAGTGATCAGGAAAACATGCACTTGGGAGATGGTGACACAGAGCAGCAAATTCGCGGGAAGATGCTGCTCGAGTGGAACTTACATCTCACCGATGGAATAAGAAAGGAATGGGGTGGTTTGCTACAAATGTGCGTGGCATGGCGGGTCTTAGCCGTGAAGGTTAGTGTTATAGAGTGGTTTCCGAGTGGAGGCTTGTATTTGTACTAAGTCGGTCCTAAAATAGGTTTGACGTACAAAACGTTAGGAACTTGATATAATAGGTAATGACGCAGAGAAATCTAGTGGTGGTCGCTGATACTTTTATTATCCGGCTAACTGTCGTCCGGCATCGACTGACTGCCCGACCCATTCTGAGCGACTCCTACTACTCTTACTTATTATAGGTGGGAGAGTCTATTAACTATAGAATAGGTGTGTTCCACTATAACAGTTAGAATCGTTGAACTAAGGAGTGTAGTTAGTCTGAGCACTTGTCATGGATATAATGATAAAGCAATGTGGGATTTGTGATATTTCGTCTGTGAGGAAAGGGGTTGTAGGGTGGAATATAATTTGTCACTCGCAATCACGCAGAGACTCTTTTCGATACTATCGAAACTGGAAAATGTGAACTGGGCAACTCCTCCTCTAGCCATTCACGCGCACGATAAATGATTGAATGTATACATAGATAGAATCTGGGTATATAGATATTAAGAGAAAATCTCAAAAGTTTAAGAATATAAGTTTCAAAATATTTGCGTGAGATCTAAGTTCTGTAGTTATTCCTAATAAATGATATAATAAACATTTTGAACTCACAAACCTTCCATTGTAAATTTTATCTATTCTATAAAATTCCAGTTGTCTTCGTGTTAAACTCAATTGCGTTAAAAAAAATCCCAAACACTCCATCTTCTTTGCAGGGCCGATGCAAGGGTCTCATGTCCCCACCCGAATCTATGATACCACCCCCTCCTTTCACTCTACTACATTCCAGTTTTCATAAAGTAGTATTGATATAAAATAGAAATTTTCTTGTAACCTACAAATTTTGTTGTACAATAATGGATCATATGCAATATAGGTAAACAATTCAATTAGAAAAATTGAAAATAAATATAATGTATATAAATACAAATTAGAAAATATCATAATAGATCATTCCATATTAAATAAAAATCATAATAGATCATTCCATATTAAATAAATATCATATAAATATCATAATAGATCATTCCATATTAAATAAATATCATATAAATATCATAATAGATCATTCCATATTAAATAAATATCATATATCATAATAGATCATTCCATATTAAATAAATATCATAATAGATCATTCCATATTAAATAAATATCATATAAATATCAAAATAGATCATTGCATATTAAATAAATATCATAGTAGATCATTCCATATTAAATAAATATCATATAAATATCATAATAGATGATTCCATATTAAATAAAAATCATATCAATCATAGATCATTCCATATAAAATAAAAATCATATAAATATCATAATAGATCATTCCATAAATTAAAAATATCATATCATATAAATATCATAAAATATCATAATGATCATTCCATAATAAATAAGTATCATATAAATATCATAACAGATCATTCCATATTAAATAAAAATCATAATAGATCATTCCATATTAAATAAATATCATATAAATATCATAATAGATCATTCCATATTAAATAAATATCATATAAATATCATAATAGACCATTCCATATTAAATAAATATCATAATAGATCATTCCATATTAAATAAATCAACAATGTTTTGCGGTATTTTTTCACATTAACTTGAGATTTCTGTTTGTTAAAAAATTGAAGAATTTGGACAAAAATGCCTGAATGACATCAACATACGTGAAAATCTTTATCTTTGAACAGTCAATTACGCTTAGTTTAATTTGTAAGATATATAAATGTAGACAGAAGAAGAAATGTTGTTATCAACATTTTTCCTTCTATCCTATATATATATATATATATATATATATATATATATATATATATATATATATATATTTTATATCTTTATATTTAGATTATGATATTTATATGTATAGATAATGAGAAAACTGTTGCCCGATGCCCTCAGGCAGGTTTGCTCCTCCAGGTTGTTGAGTGGTAGTCGGGGTGGTAGTACGCACCGACCTTGTTTCTATGCATAGACATAGCAAGTACGTGGACGCTGCCGATGATAATAACCCTCTGGTCTTATGAGCCATCTTTCTGTGTTTTTGTTTGTTTTGTTGTTTTTTAATCGATTTCACCCCATGCAAGATAGTAAAACCACTAAGACAGACGGGGTTGCTGGGTGTGGAAGAATTAGAAACAGAAACATTACTAATAAACGAGAAGAATCAGGAGTAATCAGGAGGACAGTAGATAGCGATTGACATCGCATTTACTTTTTTAAAGTTGGCTGGAAAGCATTGAACCGAAAGGGAGTTCCACAAGCGAGAAGTGCGACAAAGGTAACTGTTAGCAGAGAAAATACGGTTACATATAGCCAACTCAACTATAAACTGATGAGATCTCGACGACAGTCCAATACTGCGCTTAAATTTTAAAAATCTAGAAAAGTCGCAAGGAGGCTGCCTTGGGGCAGTGGGAAAGTGACTAAAGCCGAGACGCCAGATCAGGACTAATAATATTACTGATTCTATCAAGGAACTCAAGATAAATAGCAGGAGCACCGGACCATATGTGGCAGAAATATTCTAATCGTGAACCAATGTTATCGATATGTAGGATAGATTGTAGAGAGAAAAATTGCCTCGCATGTGAACTTTTTTAGCAGCTGATCTTAGCAATGGATTCAATATAATCTTCTCACTTCAACTGTGAATTGATGAGATCTTGACGCCAGTTTAGTACTAATAAATGGTCGCTGTCGACTCGTGACTAAAACCACCTCCAAGATTCATAAAACCATAACGAATATTTTACGGATAATTCACACGTCAATGATGATGTCTTAAATGGCTGATAAACCTGCAAGTCACTTGCAAACTATTCCACATTAAGCAAAGACAAGTCTTTTGCTAGCAATCTGATTATCTGGATATTTAAGATGCCAAGTGATTTCCGTGGTTAGGCTGTACACTTTGTCACATATACTGCACGAAAATTGCTGCGTATCATATTGGTAGATGGATTTTTATGCGTCTACGGTTGTGGCTGTCGGGGAGAAGCAGACACGCCTACATTCATCATACCAGAGGGTCTCCTCTGAGGAGGATTGTCATCTTCTTACTAGCCCGTTTCCGCTCGGCGTCAGTAATTCTTTTGTTCTCAAATTTTTCAACACCAACAACAATCAGATTACTCCAAACGTCCCTGTCTGATACAAGATGTCACCCAGTGTTAGTATCTACATTGCCTTTTTTAATTGTGTTCTTAAGGTTATCCTTGAAACGTTTGAACGACTTGCATTGAGGACATTTGCCTTGAACATATATGCATACATACATAGATACACACACACAGAGACACACACATATATATATATGCGTGTGTGTCTGTGTATGTAAGTGTATGCATGGCAATATATATATATATATATATATATATATATATATATATATATATATATATATAATAATCGACTCTGAGTGTCAAGCAGATCAGTTTCCAATAAAACTTACCGACACATGAGATTTGATTATAGTGGTGAAGGCCTCGTGCAGGACCATCCACACTTTTGAAGGACGAATACAGAGACCTGGTGCACAATGCCACAAGGTTCCCAAACGACCCTCCGCAGGTTTGAATTCAGAGTTGTCCTTCTCTAGACCAGTTGCCATCCAAAGCAACCCAGTCTGTCCTGCTATTTACCCATAGCTGGAGGAAGAGGATTCGACTGGAATTCGTCGAACTCGGCTCTGCGATTTCTCAATCCAAGTCGCTATCCATTACTCCACCGTGCCTCCTAATATATATATATATATATATATATATATATATATATATATATATATTGAATATGACAGACAAGGTGCTTTTATTTAGTTTTTTATACAATTTCTTATGCGATCTAATAATTTATTAATTAATTATTCCTAACATACTTGTTGACAACACTAATATAATAGTATCATCTACATGCAAAAAAAGGCTAAAAATAATGGAAGCCTTATTAATAAAAACAAAAAAAAACAACACTTAATAATATTAAGTTTGAACATGGACACAATATCTTGACCGTGTTTTGAAAAATGAAAACATTTTATAAAACATACACACAACAAACTATTTCTTATTTAAGAGTTAAAATATTTAATCCTTAAAAATGGCTAAATGTATAGCCGAAAGCGCTCGAATAAAAAGAACATTCGGACAGTTTTTATATAATTTATCATTCGAAAAGAAAAAAAAAATTATTAGATCGCATGAAAAAATTGTATAAAAAACTAAATAAAAGCAACTGGTCTATCATATTCAATCAAATGTGCATGAAAGAAAGATTGCTGCCTCAGTTTCGTTAAAAACGACTGACAAGGTACTGCGGTTAAGATTTTATTTAATTCTTCTTGTGCTCTTATATTTTTCTTCTTTTCTGGACATAAATTATGTAGAAATTGTCCAAATTTTCTATGTGTCCAAGCGCTTTCGGATATTCTTTTAGCCATTATCAAGGATGATAATTTTACATTTAACCGAATGCATAGATTTTTTATGTATGTATCTAGAGTTATAGGAATATTTTATTTTCCTATAACTCTTCATATATGCACCCTTGATAATAGCTAAAAGAATAGCTGATAGCGCTTGGACGTACAGAACATTTGGACAATTTCTACATAATTTACGTCCGGAAAAAAACACCGAACACAAGAAGAATGAAATAAACAACTTAAAGTACGTTGTCAGTCGTTTTTTAAAGAAACTTGCGTAAAAGAGGTATTGCTGCCTAAATACATTCAGGGTGCGATGGATAAATTGCCCTCTAAATTACGCAAAAATGAAAATAACACTGACATCACAATTTAACAGATATATTTACTAAAATTACACAAAAAATATCTTGAAATACTAAAGAGTAAATTTATTCAATAAAATTGGCTTCAACCACAGATGACTCAGAATCTCCTGCAACTCTTATGGACTGTCATCTTGTTCCAGTTGGTGAATGCAGCAATAATCCTTGCCTTCAGGTCATCTTTAGTGTTACAAGCAATTTTATTGGTCTTTCGCTCAACTGCGTCCCACACATATTAATGAAGGGAGTTGCAGTCTGGGGAATTAGGTTGTTAGATGTAAGGAATGATGTGGTCGCAGAAATTCTCTAACAGCCATGACTGGGTTCTCCTGCTTGTGTGGCATGGTGCAAAGTCATGTTATCAGACATAGGTTTTCCAGCAGCCATCCTCTTGACCCAAGGCAGTACTTACCTTCTCAAGACACTTAATGTGGGTTTCCGTGATGAGTCTGAGGCTCTGTGGGGATGATGAATGCAAGCATAACGTCGCCATCAATAGTGATCACTACAAATACTTTCGTAATCACCCAAAACCTCTGCATTGTCGTCATATTCTGAAATGTTCGTATTGCAGCTTTCGGCCAAGCAGTACAGCATGCTGTTTCCAAATTTCTGTCGGAGTGAATTACGTCATGGTGCTCTTTTTTTTTCACAGACGGTGCCCAACTGACCCTAACTATGCTGTACGTCAAAAACAAAAACAAATAACACGCATGCGCGAAATTGAATATATAAAATGGCGACAATTTAACCTTTCGCACCGAATACACACACAGATATATATATATATACGCTTTGGTCAGTTTCTATGAAGCGGATCACTTTGGGAGGCCAGGCTTGCGTTTCAAATACAAATTCAAAGACAATCTGAGGCGATGCAGCATACACTTTTCTTCGTGGGAAAACAAAGCGTCAGAAAGCAAGAATTGGCGCCTATACAGCTTCTCATCTATACAATGTTTTCAGCGAAGCCGATTGAACGTCGGGATCAACTGCGTGCAAATATTAAAGCAAGTTGGTAGCATACTGCTCCTCTCAGTGGTTGTCTTAACTACACACACACACACGCACAGACACACAGACACATACATACATACATAGATAGATAGGAGGTACGGTGGAGTAATGGATAGCAGCTCGTATTCAGTAATCGGAGAGCCGAGTTCGAATTCCAGTCGAATCCATTACATTCACTTGCATGCTAATATCCTTGGGAAAGGGTATATTAATCCTTTTCTTCTCCCCCAAGACCGGGTTCTTTGATTGATTCTATAGCCTTGGATTGCAACTGGTCTAGAAGAACAACTCTGTATTCAAAACTTTGTGACATTTTGTATTCGGTTCCTTAAAAAGTGTGGTTGATTCTGCACAAAGGAACTGAGCTGCTTGACCCTAATACGTCAAAAAACGACTGGAGAGTCCACCATATATATATATATATATATATATATATATGAGTTATGACTTTTGTTATAATTGATTGTATCATAATTTGATGAACTTTTGTTCAGTAATAATGAAAAAAGGTTTAATTCAGTTTATTTTTATTTTTTTTAAACGTCACCCCATTCACAAACTTTCTAAAATCATATATAAATATAGTCGTACTCTGACTATCTGGAGCCTTCTTGAACTTTATGGAACCTTCCCGAACATGCTTTTATTTATCTGTATATTTGCATGTTAGGCTATTACTATAAACTGCTAAATGTGTTAAAAATTCATAAGTACTACCCCATTACATTATTAACAAATTGGAAAATAAAACTTCTGAAATGCATACATATTGTATTTCTTCGATAAAGGGCCAGAGGTCCCTTATTGAAGAATCATGCCCACGGGAAGAAATTAGGACGCTTACCCTTTATATTAGAATATATTGCATTTCTTCAGCGCATCCTTGATGCAGTCCTTAAAGTGCATCGTAGGTTTGACGGCATTTCTCTTCCCTGTCCTGTTCGCAGCTAAACAGTTGCTTTGGAATACGGCTGTCATCCATTCTGACGAAGTGGCCCGTCCACGTAAGTTAATATTTTATATATATATATATATATATATATATATATATATATATATATATATTTATATAAAAAAATTTTTAATAAAAAAAATTTATATACATAAATATGCTTGGGTATATATATATATATATATATATATATATATATATATATATATATATATATATATATATGTGTGTGTGTGTGTGTGTGTGTGTGTGTGTGTGTGTGTGTGTGTGTGTGTAGAAAAGTGTATATAAATACAAAATAAATAAAAGTATGTATAATTATTTATATATTATATGCGCGGTACTTATTAGAAAGCGCTCAATATCAGAGATAGAGCTAACATATTTGGTTGGCTAGATGTGAGTTTGTGACCCTGGGTTTCACGCTTTAGCGATCGTCAGACAAACTGATTAATGTTTTAAAAATGTTGGGTTTATGTAGATTGCGTGTATTGGTGTTATTGTGGAAGTGGTGGGGGGAAATTTCGTCGTTTGTCATTCATCGTACTAACGCAAACATCGATGTATGCAGACACATATACATACTTGGCCGTCCGTCGGGACTCATACATATATAAACATATGTGGGCAGTTTCGGCTATGACACATGTATTAATCATCTATCCAACCAAATATATATATATATATATATATATATATATATATATATATATATATATATATATTGAACAATAAATAATATTGAAAAATTAAAATCTTCAGACACACTGGGTTGTAGATTAATATTCTTTCGTTTGTTTTTATTATTCCATTTAGATTCCTCGACTAGTTTCGGCCAAAATGGCCATCATCAGGAGAAGAAATATTTCTGCTTGCTGTTAGCTGTAAACTACAGAAATAAATATGTCTTGATAGGGAAAAAAATTATATATATATATATATATATATATATATATATATATATATATATATATGTGTGTGTGTGTGTGTGTGTGTGTGTGTGTGTGTGTGTGTGTGTGTGTGCAATTTATATATATATTATTTATATATTATATATCCGCAGTATTTGGGCACCTCGAGGTGGTGTAATGGTTAACAAGCTTATCTCGCTAGAGCAATTACCATTAGTAGTGAATTCGATCCTCACTGGGTGCCTCCTACTTTCGGCCTTATGCTTGGAAAAATCACTATATATCTGTAGTAGCTATTGGAAAGCGCTCAATATCAGCGATAGAGCTAACATATTTAGTTGCGTAGATGTGAGTCTGTGACCCTGAGTTTCACTCCTTCGTGATCGTCTGACAACTTCATCTGACGATCGCAAAGGGCGTGAAACCCATGTTCTAAACTCACATCTACGCAACTATATATATATATATATATATATATATATATAT